GACGTTTTCCAGAACCAAGACTCTGGCCAAACATTAAAAATGGCCACCTTGGAGTGGCCAGCTACCCACTTGGCTCACACTGAGTTTTGTTGCTCCCTATCCGTCTCTCTCCTCTTTTTGCTTTCTTCCTCTTCCTTTTTAGCTAATATTCGGCAGCCTTTTAATGGGGAAAAAACTCTTTAAATCTATAAGTAATGCTAGGCTGAGGCTATGGCTTACTTGGTAAAATGCCTGCCATGCAGGCATGACAGCACACATCTGTAATGTCACAGCTGGGGAGGTAGGTACAGGCAGATCTGTAGGCCCTACTGTTTGCCCAGTGTTGCCAAATTCATGAGCTCCAGATCGGCAAAAGACCACATCTAAAACAAAACAAAGCAACAACCAAACAAACCATAGAGGATGATTGAGGAGGATCTCTGACATCAACCTCTAGCCTATACACACATGTACACACACATACACATACCTATACACACATGTACACACACATACACATATGCCCTCATATGCAAGTATACACACTCACAGAGAGACACATATATATACATGAAATAGAATTTAAGACAATTATAAACCTGAATGCCGTTGGCCTATATTGGTGCTAAGTTATTGATGACTAATTTAAACTCCCTCAGAAAGCACATTTGAGGCTGGCATGTGGTAGGGAATAAACCGCCATTTCATTTGAAAAGGGGCTTGGGCAGAATGGAAGGTATAAAACATCTTCCAGACGAGTAAAGTGAGAAAAGAGTCCTTGGAGGCACAGAGGGGATGCCTCCCAGAGGGGATCGTTTGGGTCATTGTATAGGGGTAGAAGGGGAGAGCATGTGCTGAAGTGACAGGGAGGAAGAGCGTGAAGTCAGTCCCATGGAGATCCTTGACAGACAGGCAGACCTCAGTGCCACACCTCAGAGCGCTTCTCCATTGGCCATTGACACTGTCAACAAGAAGTCTGAAGAGCACGGATATGTCTCTAAGCTCACTTGTTTTTCACCAGAATTATTTGGTAACACTTCATGTTCAACCAAATAAAATTTCCAATTTGTATAGAACTTATTAATCAAAGGTTTGTATTTACCAAAGGATGACTACTGATTTTTTTTATGTATAATTCTCAGAGTATCTCAGTATCTTCTTTCAAACTGTGCAAACTGATGCTCCAGGAAAAAAAAAATCACATTCTTTACAAACTTAGATTAGAGAAATGTGAATTTTTTGTTTTACTTTACTTCATTTAGATATTTTTTACTTTGGGAACATAGATTGCTTATTCTATGTGTCACATCATACTTTCTTTGTAGGCAGTCTTTGTGACTAGCTAACTAAAAAACTCAAAATCTTTAGCCTTCCCTGAACCTGAGAGCTACAATAAGGCCTGGGTTGGTAAGATATGCCCATGGTACAACACTGGCACAAATGTTATGGTAGTGACCAGTGGCTTTTATCTTCACAAGATAAAACTATTGCCTAGTACAATTCGTGGAGCCCCAGATCAAGGCTGGCAAGCCATACACCTTAGGGAAAACCCTAAAACAAGTATTCTGCTAAATGGACACAGTAAGAAACTGTCCCCTAAGCGCTTACCTTATTGATACCTGACTTAAACTCCTTTGAAGAGCGCTTTTTTTTTTTTTTTTTTTTTTTTTTTTTTTTTAATATGGGATATTTCAGAGAACAAACGTTAGGCCACAGAGGAGGACTTTGCAGCCAGCCCTGAAGATACCTGATAAAACAGGGTCAAATGAAAGGGGAGGAGGTCCTCCCCTATCAGTGGACGTGGAAAGGGGCAGGGAAGAGTCCAGGGAGGGAATGTGGGGTAGGGGAAGGAATGAGGGAGCGGGATACAGCTGGGACACAGAGTTAACAAAATGTAACTAAAAAGAAAAATAAAATTAAGAAAAAAATGTGTATCACCAAAAAAAAAAAAAAAAAAAAAAAAAGAAATGGCAGAATGGATGATTAGTCCATCTCTCAGCCCTCATCAGAGAAACCCCCTCTGATTAATACAGTTAATACAGACTCACAACCGGTCAATGTGTGGAAAACAAAAGACTGTGGCGTGCTCAGTTCTCCCTTGCCCTATGGCTCAGGCCTGATCATCACAGAATGGGTCAGAAAGGTGGTGAGAGCCAGTTAGTAGTAGAAGGCTGTAGCAAAACAAAGTTTGCTGGGCGTGACACGCCAAATGGAATCACAAAAGTTGTGACTGATACACAAAACCAAGCCAGCCACAACACCAGCATGGATGAGGAGGGACTCCGGAAGTCCCACCCCTAGTTGAAGAGCTGTTAGGAACTGGAGGCTGCTGAAGGGTAGACAGTCACTTCTCATTAGGGGCAGGGCCTAGGAAGCTAGCCATTCTTTAGCTGATTGTCCTACACCCATGCACATGTGGGTAGCATTGAGTGAACTCAGTTTAAAAAATAGCACATGAAGCTGGGAGAGGAAAGTAGTGGAGGGACAGGGGAAAATTGGAGGAGAATAGAGGGAAAGGGGTAGATTTGACCAAACACAGTGTATGTATGTGTGAAATTATCAAACAAACAAATAAAACCTTTAAGCATAACCTTCCAAGCAAAAGCTGTACTCAGCCAAACCTATCTCCCTTGCCTTTTTGCTAAGTATGCTTTGCCCTGAGTCCTTTGCCCTAGGAAGGCTGGTTCCACAGCCTGCTTTCAGGTTTCTTCTGGTCAGGAGTAAATCATCTGCCCTCAGATCCTGAAGCACAAGAGATAGTTCTCAGAGGATGAAGGCTTTCCCGGTCAAATACATCAGACTTGCAAAGTAAATGCCACGCTTTCCCTAGCCAAAGGAGGGATTTTTGTGTGATTTAATGTTCTGTTCCAGTGAAGTGTGTTCTTACAAATTTTTACATCAATATAGACACACTCCACCTGTTTCTACCCAGTGGAGTATGCATCCTCCGTATATATTTCTGCGACCACCAGTGGAGCGGAGCTGCTGAGAACCAACTCTGAGCAACTCTTGGTACATCCATTCCTTCAGTCTGTGGTAAATTTGTCAGTCCCATTTTCCAGTAGTGAGTTTCTCATTTCCAGAGTTCTAACATTGTGTCTTATTTACATAAATAGGTTCACATTCCCCTCTCCCTTCAAACACTATGGCCAACAGCAGGCTAGGTGAGGAGAGGGTGGATTTGGCTTACACTCTGACTTCGGGAAGTCAAACTTGAAGCAGGAAAACTATGTGTGGATGTTGCCCCCTTTGCTGGCTTGCTCTGACAGACTCAGGCCTGGTTGGCTTTTTCACACAGCCCACACTCATCGGCTTAGGGAATGCTGCTGCCCATAGCCGGCTAACCTCTCCTATATTAATTTACAACTAAGCCACCCCCCTCCCAAACATGCTCACAGGTCAGTCTGATCTGGTCAAACCCTCTATGAAGAAGTCCTTCTCAGGTGATTTTAGGCTCTGTCAGGTTGACAGTTAAAACTAACTGAGACAGTTCATAGTAGCCTTACATTTCTTCTAGATGGAAGCAATAGGCTGAAGTGTTATCAAAAACTAGTGTTACTGCACAACTGGCTGCAGTGAAGAGAACAGCCCTAGTGATTGAGGTAGAGGAAACACATACCCAAGATTGTAAGAGAGAGGGGTCAGCTCACCCTGAAAGTGTGTCATTTCAACTTTCTCTTCAAAGTTGGACATTGGTCCTTAGGGACTACAACTAGATTTGTGTGTGTGTGGGTGGGGGGGTGTTATGCTATAAACTCTGTAAGAATGGAGTGTGTGGAGTCAAATAACCTGGGTTCCAGTGCTAACTCTATCTACCTGTTCGTGCCCTCCACCAGCTTTCTAAATGACTCTCTTCAGCAGGGGAAGGATTCTTGTCTATCATCAACACCTATGTAGCTCAGATGGCGCAGCTGTGCAAAAGTACATGTAGACTGTAGGAGGTTAGCGTCTCGAATACTGTGGAGTTGGGTGGTATTCTTCAGGTCTATCCTCTCATTTTACAAAAGTCTAAGAAGGCCCAGAGAGGAGAGTGAGCTGGATAACACGGCTAACTAATGGGATATGTTTCCTACAAAGTTTACCAATGTGACCCATCCTTACAAACCCCACCGCCAGATGCAGCTGTGCACATCTGTAATCGCAGCATTCCTCTGGTGAGGTGGGAGAAAGAGACGCAAGAATCCCTGGAAGCTTGGATGCACAGAGCTGGTAGCGCAGCTAGCCTGGCTGGCATACCTAGCTGCGAACAACAGGCCTTGTTTCAAATGAAGTGAAAGGCGAGACCTGGCACTGATGTGGAGCTTGTCCGCTGGTTCTACACACGTGCTATGGCATGCACACACACACACACACACACACACACACAGAGTTAGAAAGAGACAGAGAGAACAAGAGACAGAGAGAGACAGAGTCAGAGAGATAAAAAAAGAGAAAAGGAAAGACAGACAGAGACAGAGAGATTTTTTTTTCAGAAGTTAAAAATTGATCTTTGGGAATGTAGCACAGCAGTAGAGCACTAAACTAGCACATGCAAAGCTCTGGGTTCAATACCCAGTACTGGAAAAAAGCACAGAAACACATGAGTTAGAATAAATTATACTGTTCACTGTCTCATTATATTGTGGTCCCAATCTTTAAAGTTATGATTTCTACATTCCATGAAAACATATTATTGCAATATTAAAAACATATGAGTACACACCAGCAACTCATACAATGGGAATAGTTGAACAGGAAATTCCTGTTTGGGACAAAAGATTACGCTGAGCTTCCGCACTTCATCATAGGAGGAACATCATCAGTGTTGGGAAAACACTCTTGGATGTAGCATGGTCAACTTGTCGATTTCCCAGCAACTGGTTTAATAACAGAAGGATGTTCTTCTGAAATTCCACCCTTGCCTTTTCCTTTGAGTCTCAATTCGACATGTCCTTTAGTAAAGGTGTGTATGTTATCGTTTCATTCCAGTCGATGGTGACACAAGAGCCCATGCTGAAGGCTGCCTTGCCTCTCTTTGCCAGATATACCATCAGCAACGGACTGCAGACCCAGCACGGTGTGTTTGAGATCACACTGGAGACTGTGGACAGAGCCCTGCCTGTGGTGACCAGGAACAAAGGGCTGAGGCTGGCCCAAGGGGCCATGGGTCTGCTGTCCGCTGATCACCTTCAGCTGACTGACGCTGACACCCCCCCAGAGACCCTAACCTTCCTTCTGGCCCGGCTCCCACGCCATGGGTACCTCTACCTGAGGGGGAAAGTGCTTCAACATAATTTCACCCAGCAAGATGTGGATAGCGGGGGCGTGGCCTATCAGCACTCAGGAGGCAGCTCCCAGGCAGACTGCTTTACTTTCCTGGCTACGGACAGGAAGAACCAAGGCTTTGTTGTGGATGGAAAAGTTCGAAAGGAGCCTGTTTTCTTCACCATCCAGGCAAGTATGGCAGGCACATAGTTTGTGCCAGAGATGAGGGGACAGCCATTGTAGGAAGGTGTGCTTCCTAACAGCCATCCTCTTGGCATTCAGGTGCAGGCTGCAGCTTGCCAAGCTGTCTGTATGGCTGTGCAAGGGGCTGACCTTAAGAAGTGGTAGAAAGGGGTAGGAAGGAAGAAAAGCACGGGCCTTAGAGTCACAGACATAGATTTGAATTTCTGTTTTGCCATTCATTATCCGTAAAACCTAAAATGGCCTCTTCAGCCTCTCCTGTCTTTCTGTTCTATTGCTGTATGGAGACACCATGATCAAAGCAGCTGGTAGAAGAAAGTGTTGGATTGGGGGCTTGCTTACAGTTTTGGTGGTGGTGGGGTAGTCCATGGCCATCATGGTGGGGAGCGTGGCAGCTGGCAGGCACGATGCTGAAGCAGCACCTGAGAGCTTACATCCTGACCCACAAGCCCAAGGCAAAGGGAATGCTACTGGGCCTGGCATGGACCCATACCTCCAACCAACAAGCACACAACTTCCCAGTCCTTCCTAAATGGTCCACCAGCTAGGGACCAAGCATTCAAATACTTGAGCCTATTGGAGCCGTTCTCATTCAAACTACCAAACCTCCTAATCTTCTAAAGCATTCCTGCAGAATAGCGGTGGCAATTAAACAAGATTGGGTATCCAAGGCACTCACCCATCGCCTGAAGAATAGTTAAGGTGCATACTAGACATTTGTAGCTATAATTGTGCCATCAGGATTCTGCCTAGTCTCTAGGCATGTCATCTACTGACATGGTTAAGTGTGCAAACCTTACAAGGCTGCATCAGTATCACCCAGGAACTGAAGATGCTGATAACAGTAACAGCAGCTACAAACGTTTCTTTTTTGTACACCTTTAATTTCTAGACAGTTTCATGCACCTATATAATGTGTCTTACTTATTTGCATCCCCCGTTCTCCCTTTCATCCTCCTCCCCTAACTGCAGAAACCATTCTACAACAACTCGCCCTCCTACTTCCATGTTGTCTTTGTGTGTGTGTGTGTGTGTGTGTGTGTGTGTGTGTGTGATCCACTGAGATTGATTAGTGTTGCTCGCATGAGCGTCGATAGGATGTTTTTCTCTGGAGCAGGGAAATCACTAACAGCGATCCCACTGAAGAAAACAATGCTCTCTCCCTCCCCCAGCAACCATTAACTGCCCATAGGACTTCAGGGGGCAGTGCTGGGGCCTTGTGGAGAAACCATGATGAGATCTGCCCAACCCTCTGCAGATAACTAGCTGCCCTGCGTTCATGAGTGATGTGGGCCTGACATATCTAGGCGACATTTTTAGTCTCCCCACCCCCTGGCTCTTATGTGCTTTACAACTCCAGGATTTTAAAAATGGCTATCTAAAGATCAGAGCTACTCTGCATAAATCTCACTTGACTCTCATAAGCATTTTATGTGGTAAGCTTTATTGTCTACATTTTATACATGAAGAAACTGAATATCGGAAGTGAAGTGACTTGATGGGAGAGATCAAGTCTGTTTGATTCCAAATTCTGTGTCCTTCCTATGGCTCCATACTGCCACGTTTGTTGACTCTCAACAATTCTTGGAGGCCAGAGTGTTTTGCGTCTTTCAGTCAAAACACATCAAGCACGTTCTGGCTCTTAGAACTCCTAAGCTACTCCTCTTGGATAGAGCTCACCCTGTTCCACACACTCCAACCAACAGCAACAAAGATGCCATTTTTGTCTTAACTTCAGGATAATCTCTGACTAGTGAGATAATATTCTCTCCTTGCTCTTTATGCTCTGTTAGGCTTCCCCAGAGAAACCTGTGTATGCTGTGTACAGCGGCCATATATCTTTGTAGACAGACAGGACAGATCAATAGAATGCGAGAGACAGACAGTGCATGTGTGTGAAAGAGAAAGAGGCACACAGGCAGAAGTTCATTTGGAAATTGCCTCATGCTACTATCGGTGCTGGCATGCTCAAGATACATTGTACAAGCAAGCCAGTGAACTAAAACCTGCAGGCAAGGTGGTTCTGTGGCCTTCAATCTGAAAGAGCAGAGAGACGAAGCTGTTATTTCTTCGAGGGAAACCCAGTCTTTTCTCTTCAGGCTGGCAATGGACTGGATGGCGGCGCTAAGGCAGTCTCCATTACCCACTCTGTGGAACTAAGCATTGGCTGAAATACTCTTCCCTAGACCGTCCAGGCCCTGGGCCTGAGAACACATGGCGCAGGTTCTCTGGGTGTGGATGAGTTTTCGGCACCACAAAGGCTGAGAAAATGAAATGAGCTTCAGATACCTGGGGAGACAGTGTGGGTGTACTGACATAGTCTCCGAAGAAAACAAACAAACAAACAAACAAACAAACAATGTTTTTCTGGACTTGTTTCCTACAAGTTTCTAAGAGTTATAAATTCTACATGCAGACACAGCTGCTTCCTGTGCTACAGATACAGAAATTGGGGTAGAGTAGAGAGACAGTGCTAGAACTAACACAGATCTCTCGACCACGGTGATCCTCTAAGAACAAAGCCATTCTAAGAGTCTGTTCCCTCTCCATAGCTGGGGAAGCTGTCTTCTGGGTGTGGTAAAGCTTGGCTTTCATCACAAATGCAAGATGTCTGTTTCAAAAACAAACAAAGAAACAAAGATTGTGTTAAACACTTACAAGCCTAAGTTTTTTTGTCCATCAAATTTCCTTGACCCCTTGCTCCCTTAAGAGCAAAGGGTCAAGCGGTGTTTTATAAAGCAGCTGGTCCTGCCTGATGTAGGAGAGAAGGCACCCTTAACGTCCTGCTTCCAAGGGCTATTTTGTTGTTGTTGTTTGTTTGTTTTTAAGACGATACAGTATTTATTGACTGCCACCAGTCAGTGATACACTGACCCAGACAAGTGACTCCAGTATGGACAAGTGACCGTTAGTAACTGAGGGCAAAGCTGCTGAACTGAAGAACTGAAAACAAACAAACAAGCAAAAGCTGTGCTTGACTGATACCAGCAGGCACATAGGACTTTCATTCTGTGGGAATCACCCCCCACCCCCAAGACTGCCACCATCTGTAGTTCTTCTGTGAAGGGGACAAGTCTTGGGTAGAGACAAAAGGACCTGCCCTTACTCTCTATGGGACTGGCATGTCTGGGAGGATTTTCACTAAATCCAGCTGCAGTTATGGGAAGATAGACAGAGCCTTCCTTAAAAATAAAATGCTTTCCCCTGTAATATTTTAAAAAACTTTCTTGTATAGCAAATCAAAGACCTGCTTTTGAAGAAGCAAAATGTTTAATATATATGAGCACACCAGTATGGGCTGAGGCACAAGAGAGGACCAAAGTCACTAAAGTTTTTAAGGTGATTCATCTTTAAAACATTGACCACAACAAATCTGTATTACTTTTGTAATACTTGGGCATATAAGAAAAATATAACACCAAAACCAAAAACATTGCTCTACATTCAGGCATCTTGTGTTTGGAAGGATACCAACATGGCTTAGTGTATTTTCATTTTTCTTCTTCTGTGCCACCACAGCTGTGGGAGCTTCTCTTCCTAGAAGATCATCAGGAAATTTACATCCATGTTCTGCAAAGCTTTGAAGTGCTGAAAGTCCCAGCACACAATTTTCAGATCCACATCCATTAAAATATTTTTATAATCAGCTAGAACAAATCCAGAAAGCGTAAACATACTTTTTGTATGTGTATAGTGTGTATACATGCATGCTTACAGATGTGGAAGCATGTTCGTGTGCTCATGTGTGCATGTATGTCCATTTGGTGGCTGGAGGCTGACGCTGTGTCTTCCTTGATCACTGTTTTACAAAGGCACTATCTCTCTTGTTGAACATGGAGCTTGCTGATTCCACTAATCTGACTAGTCAACTTGCCCCAGGGAATTCTACTCCTGCCACAGCCATAGCTGTCCATCACCACCCTTAAAATATCTAGTCTACCTACTGAGTCACATGGTCTTCAGACCTAGTTGAACAACACAGAGTCTAAAGATAATCACTTTCAGGATTCATCTGGTAAACCATTTCACATTTTCTATTCAATACCTTTGGCATTTGGACAAAGGCATGTGGAAAAGGTCCTTGGCGTTTGTGGATACCTAGGATTCTGTTTGCGTAGTTCATTAAACACAGCACATCTTTCTGAGCTGCTGATGGTAAATTCACCGTGTGATTCTTAGGTTAGTTTTAGCATATTCCACATGCTTCTGCTATGGTTCAGGCATGGTGCCAGGTGCAAGAATGGGCCCTGGAGAGGGAAGATACAGTATTTCCCTTCATAAAGCTAATATGGTAAGGAGAATCAGACATGAAACACACTATAAAGCAGGGTGAAGGGTTAAGATGGAAAGTAAGCGTCTGCCCCAGTCTCTGTATTTGTTAGGGTAGGGTGAGCAAGACAGGCTTCAGCACAAATCAACAGATAAGGACTCCAAGCAACCTGTAAGTTGAGGGGTTCGCCATTGTTGAACCACGAGAACCCCGTGTAGCATAGGGAAAGAAGTCCTTGAGTAATGTTTCTTCGATGATTCAGGTGGACCAGCTGGACAAAGAGGCACCCCAGATCACTCACCTGCACTCGCCTTCCCAAGTGGGGCTCTTGAAAAGTGGCCGCTACGGGATTTATATCACTTCCCGAGTACTGAAGGCATCGGACCCCGACACGGAGGATGGCCAGATCATTTTCAAGATTTTACGAGGCCCATTGCACGGCCATCTAGAGAACACAACAACAGGTACCTTCCATCTTAATCCTTGTAATTCCTCTCATTTTAAACTACTAGTGGCTGGTGTGGCTAGAGAGTAACTCAATTAAGTGAAGGCCCGTTTGATGAGTGCTCCCCAGGGCTTGCTGATAGACTCAGTTTATAAATCGATACTGTTGCTAATGGGAGTTTGAAGCTGCATCTTCTAAACTCAGCTTCATAAGAACAAACAACTCCTGACACACAGCAGCTTAACTCTTCACCATTTTGTTGTTGTTTTATTTTGTTTTTCAGGTTGTGTAGTATTCAGAGCACAGCACCAGGGTCAGATTGATATTTCAGACTAATTTCTTTCTTCTAATATGCATCCTATATGATAGCAGATTCTTTTTTAAAAATCTGGGTTTTGTTTAATGGATCTGTTAGATTAAACATTATTTCTGCCTCAGGAAGGCAGCGATCACAATACTTCATTAAGCAGGGTGGCAGAGGGGACGAGTTTTATTAATTCCCTCTTTCCTTTCTCTTTAATTTAGTACGACAAGGCAAATATCCCAGAAGCAAAGCAGACTTAAAGATGAATCCATTGCATTTGAAATTGAACATAGCTACAATAATGTTAATTCCCATCAAAAATAGACTTCAGTTGTTTTGTCTTGAAACAAGGTCTTGTGTAGCCCAGGCTGGCCACAGACTTGATATGTAGCTGATTGTGGCCTGGAGCTTCTGATCATTCTCCCTCTATACCCCAAGAGTGAGGATTACTGATGTTTGACACCACATGGGCTTTTGGGTGTGCTCCATGATGCTAGGCAACCACTCTACCGCCTGAATCCCATCCCCCGCTCAGCACTATTCCTTAAGTCTGTGCTTCAAACAGAACAGCTGTATGGTTTTATCAGCTCTTAAGTGGTGTTTGATTAGATTACTTGTGGGATCCGTTTATTTCTTGCCTGTAGGTGAATTTATCCATGAGCGGTTTAGCCAGAAGGACTTGAGCCGCAAGACCATCCTTTACATCATAAATCCATCTTTGCAAGTGACTTCGGATATCCTGAGATTTCAGATCATGGACCCCGCAGGGAACACTGCCTCTCCTCAAAGGTAACTTTCGCTTATTCATTGGTTCTACATATCGTGTTTAAAATGTATGTGATTAAGAAAGTGAAATAATCTTTTCCGCACCAGACGTAACAGGGTAAACTGACAGAGTACTTCGTATGCTCATACAATTTATTTTGGAGAAGGGATTTCTGTTGTATTATTTCTAGAGGATGGAAAAGCCAGCGGTTTCCGGATTAGAAAGACATGCTTCCACACGCTGGGAAGCTGCTGTTTGAGCTCCGAGCACAACCTGCAGCCAGAGGTCACTCTAGGACTGCGTTCGTTCATCACCGCTGGCTCCTGAACCGTGGCGTGAGCCAGCATGGGATGAAGAGGAAGGGACAGTCAAATACATTCTCTCCTACAGAAAAGAAGGAAAGAGAACACATTAGTGCCTCTGCGAGTTAGCAAGCCTTATAGGCAAGGTGAAGAGAGTATAAAGAAAAATAGACTTGAGGGCATTTTGAGCGATGTTTAGAAATGTGACTGTATGGTGATGTAGGATAGTCGCCAGAGCAGGAACAAATCCGTGATATTAACAAGATTAACAGAGCAGGGTAATTTCGGTGGCTGCGCCTCCTTTCCAGATGCTCCTTGGATATAGACCTTGAATAATTTACTGGCTGACAGATGGTCATGATGAAGGTCCATTCGTCCATTTCTTGTGCTGCATTAGTTTTCTTTATTTACTGCCTTTCCCAGACGGCTCAGAGGAAAGTTAATTTGTTCTAAATTTTGTATTCGCCATATCAGAGACATATAAGATAGCATAAATGACCATAGCCCTACTGTGCCTTCTCTAGTATGAAATGTGGACAGGAGAGAAACATGATGAGAAAATGTTTCTTTTTGTACTGTTTTCGTGGTTTGGTTTGGTTAGTTTTTCCCTCATCCTGTAGTGTAGTTTCACCATTCGCCAGCAGAGGTCGCTAGAGTCGTTGTTAGCAAAAACTGGCACCCGTCTAAGACACCGGTGGTGACTGACCCTGCCTCCACCGCCTATTAACTAACCCCACAGCCTTCGGTCCCATAGCTACCATCTGTCAGGCTCCCCGGTACTGGGAGGTAGGGACCAGGTCCGAAAATGGAAGACCAGGTCCCTGCACTTAAAATCCGGAGATTATAAACCAAAACAAATGCTCCCCCCAGGAATCAGTTTCCTCAAGCAAAGTGGGGTTACAGTTTAAAGAATCACTTGCTTTTCAAACAAATATCTTTATTTTCAAGAAAAAGTTTTAAACTTACTTTCTAAAGATATTAATGAACTGTGTTCACTCAGCTTTTTGTTGTTGTTGTTGTTGTTGTTGTTCTCTTGAGATGCATAGTTTTGATCAGCCTTGCCCCTGAGCTAGTGTGAGCCTTTGGTGCTCCAGATGTCAGCATGGCGTGAAGACAGACTTCCCCACCAGCAGTGGCACTGGGTTTCCTCTCACAGTACCCTTTTCATGTCTTATTGACAGGAGCAACGAAAAGACTTCATGAAGATGCTTTGTGTTTGTTGGTAACCATAGAAGTTACTTATGCAAGTCACAGCAGTTATCACCCCCGTGGAGGCTCTTTTAGGTCAGCTTGCTTGCTTGTGCACGGATCGCTTTCCACAGGCTCATGCTGGAGATGTTCCTCTCACCTCCAGATGGCTAGAACCCGTGAAGAAAAGGCCTGCAGACCGCTAATACAAAGATAGCTCATATTTGGTCCCAGCATCCTTTGGGCTATTTTCTTTTGATTGGCCAGGGAAGTAGGTATTATTCAGCATTTGAGTGGAATAGTTAGTTATGACCAAGTAGATGTTTGTTTTCTGAAACTAAGCACACATTTTTCTGATAACAAAGGGAGGTGTGTGTTCAAGCCTGATCACTTGAGCTTATTCTCCAGATCCAACTCTCAACAATTGTCTTTTGTCTTCTACACACACACACACACACACACACAGAGAGAGAGAGAGAGAGAGGGAGAGAGAGAGAGAGAGAGGCAGAGACAGAGACAGAGACAGACTTTTTTAAAACAGAAACAAAAGTCTAAATAGTGGTTTGTCTTTACAAAGCAACCAGCAAGAGCCTACTGACACAGACAATACGACTCATAGGCATTTGGAATCTTATCATTTTGAGCTCTATTTGATGTTATTCATTTAATCTCCAAAAACCTGTAAGGTTGGGTACCATCATAATCTACAATTTGCAGGCAAGGAAACAGAGGCACAGAGCTAGAAGAGACTTCCCACTTGTATAGCTGGTTAGTATGGTAGCTGAGTTCAGCCCTCATTAGTCCATGTGGCCTGCCACCCTGCTCTGTCCCCCTGCCCTTCCTTAATGCTGGCTCAGCCCCTCTTTCCCTGTAGGTATTGGCCATCCAAGATGCAAGGAAGAGGAACACTCATCCATCAAGAACCTTAAGGTTTACCTGGATTTTTGTGAAAATGTGAAAAATCGACTGTCAACAGTAGTATGATCTCCATATTTAATGCCCTGGGGATTGTAGTATAGATAATTATCCTTTGGACACGTAGTGAAGCAGGCTTGCACTTTGGTTCCACCATTTAGTGATTGTTCATAATAGCTTCCTGATCTGTATAATGGGGAAATAGCACCGTTAGTTTAGTTAAACAAGTGAGGTCAAACATGGAAGAATCTTGTAAGTTCTTAGCAAATGCATCTTGTGGTCCTTACTGCTAGTGTTCATTTCCTTGAGTATTTTTGTTAATTCAATTGACTGTTTGAAGAAGTATCCTGAACTATTTGGTGGGTTAGAGTCTATCTCTGATTGGATATTGATTTTAGGGTGATGCGCACAGCAAACAGTCTGCATGGTTATTCGGTTATTCTTAATAAGCTAAACACTGTTTTGCCATTGTATTTTCTGTGCATTATTAGTTCTGAGGGATCAATAGATGCTTTAGTTCATCAAACATAGGAGAGTTTGGTCTGGGCGATATCAGTCCAGTTACCAGCAGCTGGCTAATTGGTGAGTGTGTTTAATTATATCACATCAGATTTCATCAAGCTGACCATGTTATTAGAATCTATGAGAGAGGGTGCATTGTGCAACTCCCTTCACCTTAATAGGCTACAGGGCCACCTACCCTCCCCTTCCCTCCCTCATCCAGGCAACAGCTAGTCATGGAACATATTTGGGAATACTGCCATAAAGCTACTTTATACCACCAAAATCCATGGATGTTTGACTCAAAGTTTATATCTGGCTAAGTGTCTAAATTCTAGGCAGTGCGTTAGATGCTTAAAACACAATCCTCCAAAGATAATAAGGAAATTAGACTCAAGGCACTGAAGCAATTATCTCTGAGGTAGTAAAAGAGTGGAAGCTGAAGGTGAACCTTGACTTCCAGGTCTCAGAGAGCGTATCTCTTCCTGGCCATGACTTGACTTGTTCACAAGCTTGTTCTGTTCTCTGGCTCAAGCTGACTCCCCACATGATCTACAGAATCTAAGCACGGTACACAGGGCTCATGGCACTCATTAAAAATATAGTGTAGGCCAGAGAACAAAGCCAATATACACCAATGTCGTTTTCTTAGTACATGCTCCATGTGGACCTCTTTATTATGCACACACACACAAAACAGACAGACAGAGAGACAGAAAGAAAGAAAGAAAGAAAGAAAGAAAGAAAGAAAGAAAGAAAGA